AGGCGTTACACTTAAGAAAACCAAAACTGAAAAGAAACCTGTATCCAAAGAATCTGTTGAAGTGGTTACTCTTAAACCATCTATAGTTGATGATAATCTTGTTCYTCAGGATGATATTCAGAAATCTGATGTTGATTTGTATGTAAGTAATGATATTGCAGATACTGGTTTACCATTTAATGAAACGGATCTACCTGCTGTTGAAGACTATCCTATTATCAAAATTAGGTTTATGAAGCATGATGATTTGTTGAAARAAGGTGTTAATAAAATGCCTGACGCAATTGTTTGTGCTCAAAAAGTGATTTCGTTCCCTAAAGATAAAACCAAAAATAAAAAGAAACATGTTCAACTAAATGAAGACATGAACCAAGAAAAAGAGTTTTCCCCTGACGATGAAGTTAGTGCTCTTAATGATGTAGAAATTATAGAACTTTCTCCAAACATATTAGATTCTAAGGATCTAAAGGGAATTATGAAACCAAGTGATGATAATATTGCAGATTCTTATATTATTTCACAAGKTGATGATTTATCTTTGGATAYTTTAGGAAAGGCTAAAAATTTAACCGAACAGATTGTTCCAATAAAGCTTCTTGGTGAAAAATTAGAACTTCCTTGGAGAAAAGGACGTAAAGAAATCGATAATGACGTCGTAGCTCATTCTGAAATTATCGAGAAATCGGAATGTCGTGTTCCTAAAAAAGAACAGTTGAATTTAGTAGAGTTTAAACCACAACAACTGAAATCATCGGAAGCAGATAAACCGTTATTTGCTTCAATTCAACTTAAAAAAGCTTTTCCCAAAAAAGTCAAAGAAACTGAAACTTTGTCTGTTCCTAAAGTTCTACTGAAATCTCACATACATAGAATCGATTTTAATACAAATGAGCATTTCCCTACTTTTTCGTTGTTAGAACCAATTTATGTTGACAACGGTGTTCTGTCTAGAAATTATGCCGAGGCTATGAAAATAAAGAAAACTAAACCAAAAAAATTAATTCTTCCTGAACTTGAACCTGTAGTACTTGAAAAATATGAACCAACTGAATTTCATTACGACAAAAAGGATATACCTGAGAAAAAACCATCTTTAACAAAGCAATCAGTTGAGAAAAAGATTCCAGATGACGAAACCCCGAAAAAATTAATAATCGGAAAAGGAAAAATACCTGTTCAGAACGATGATCAAGAAAAAGTAGTTTTGAAAAAAGTCCCTAAAAAACCAATGGAAGAAAAAGTGGAAATGCCAAAGACAGTTGAAAAACCACATTTTAATCCTGAACCTACCTCAAAACCATCTGAAGACATAGATTTTACATTAGAACCTTTTAAACCTATAGGTGATGGTAAAAGTCCTGAAGGGTCTGAGCTGACACCGTTCGATAATGAAAGTTTACCTGATAGTGAATCASCAGTTAAAAAACCTAAATATATCAGGAAAAAATTAAAAAAAGAAGAATTGCCAATTCCTGATAAAAAAATATTACCTGGAACACCAAGGCCTATTCCAGTGGATGAAGAAAATGATATTAACCTCAAATATAAACAAGGAATACCAGAAYCAGAAGTACCAGAGRAAATAAAATTAAAACCCATTCCCCTTAAAACAACTTTAGATAATAGAGAAAGCGATGATGATGAATTAGGAAAGCCTAAGCCTTTTGTTTGTGATTTACCTAAAATTGATATATACTCAAAGTCTAAAAAATCACCTTCATTGAAATCCATAAGCGTTGATAGCCCTTTGCAGGATCTTGAAATTGTGAGTATAAAAAGAAGTGAAGAGTGCCCTGAAAATGTATCAAYTGAAAGTGAAATTGTAGCACCCTATTTTATTGAAAAAGTGCAACCATTAGTAGCGGAACACGAAAAGCCTACCGCTTTTACGTGTTCTGTTGGGGGAGTCCCTACACCTGAAGTTAAATGGTACCGGGATGATCGTGAACTACATACAACTGATGTTTACGAAATAATTGTTTATGAGAATACATCTACATTGAGGATTTCTAAGCCTACAGAAGAACAGGCTGGTGTTTATGTTTGTCAAGCTACGAACGCAGCTGGAATTTCAACTTGTACTGCACTTCTTGTAGTGTTAGGTAGAATTGGAGTGTCAGTGATGTCCCTGAGTGATTTAACGTTTTTGTGTGATGTTGTTTATCTAAATATTGTACATATAATGTAATTTATATTTWAAATACATTTATTATGATCGCTAATTATTTTAACCATTTCCCATATAATGGTCTGTTATGCTTACGAAACCTATTTAATATTAACAGGTTTTTGGAAATGATTTATTTTTATTTTTAGTCTTTAATATA